AGTATAAAATCATGCGGCCAGAGCACTGAGAGCATCCAGAGCTTACTGGGAGACAAGTGGGAGACAAGGGTGAAATCACGCGGCCAGGAACACAAGCCCGGAGACAAACTCAAAATCATCCGGCCCGAGCATGCACCCCTTTAAAAGGAGTAAGAACCCCTCACAGGTAAACCTGTTTGGGGAACAACAGCATCTGAAAAAGAATGCTATGTCCGATTACAGATGATTACAGTACTTTCCACACCTCCCGAGTTGGGGAGGAGCTGGCTGCGATGCTAGTATCCGAGCCTGACTCAAAGCGAGTAGTTTACAACAAACGATCAATGACTCAATCTCACTACGAGTATCTGCGCAAGTCTGAGGCGTTCACTCACTGTGTGGGTGCCTTAGCTGTAGTGTGCTTTGGACTTGCTAAATCATTGGGTGCTCCAAGAGCCTCTGGTGTGTGTAGAAGATCCCGAGCATGGTGTCTGTGCTCTAGATGAAGCGAGTATGTTCCTGGCCACGTGTTTTGTCTTCTCCAGAAACCGCAAACGAAGACTTGGACGCTTCAAGAGGACTGGTTCCATCCTGGATGTGGAAGTCTTCTGTTGACTGGTTGGCTGTGTTTGTGTCAGCCTCAGTCCAGAAAACAAGGAAATGATCAACATCGACCGTAAGGCACTGCTGGACGACCAAATAAATGAAACATGCGTCCTGCATCTGATCTGAGCGATGTGCGGACAAGACAACAGGAGAGTTGGAGGTTCATGGAGCAGCTGCTGAATATCCTGCGACGACGTCGCATGACTCGCATCACTCGCAGCCGAAAAAAAGAAAAAGAAACGCGTCCTGCTCTGCTGCCTCCTCCGCAAGTCCCTGTTCCTGTCTCGATTGTCTTCTCTCTAAACTACAAAGGTGTTGCAACCCCCCCGACTGTCTCCAAGGTGTGCCCAATGCCTCGAGTGCCTCCTGCACGACTTCGTCGTCAGTGTCTGGCTCCTAGGAAGCTGCCCAGTTTGTCCGAATAAGTCATCACGTTCTGATTTTATTGCTTGCAGCTTCAAGACTAGTATATGAATATGTGTTCTTGTAGTAGAAAAAGTTCTATGCAAGATTTGCTGCAAGAAACTTGAATCACATCGCACTCCACTTCTTTTCCTAGGATACACCATCTTTGTGTTGCCTCATGTTTAGCTCACAGTCTGTTTCTCCACCGCGAATCGGCACCTCAACTCTTGGACACTCCGCACCTAGGGAAGACCGACACCCATGTTCCGCCCGGTGGAGCAACAGCTGTGGTTCGACACCAAAGCATCGACACTGAAATGGTCCAAACATGGTGAGCTGAACAGCGGAACAGCGAACAGCTCAGTGATCCAGCCGCCCGAAGTTGGTGCTGATGTGGTTCTGGTGTTGAGCCTGATGTGAAAGCGCACAAAGGCCTTGTACTGTTGAGCTACAAAACTTAAACAACACTGTCGGGACCGTGACTGTCCGTTGCAACCGTTGTAACCGAAGACAGCTGTTCTTTCGGTTGGTGAAGCTTCAGGCTGTTCATCGCGGCTGGGAAGCCAACCCCAGGTCGTTCATCATGGCTTCAAGCATTGACCATGCTCTTGATCTCCCACCCTGCCAGTTCTCACTCTGTGAGAATTACACCACCGTAGACCCCAAACAGGTTAGACAACAACGAAGCATTCCCAAGTCCACTTTTTGAGACATCAACAAGAAGGGAGACAAGGTGGACACAGTGATCAACAAGAAGGAAGACAAGAAGGGAGACAAAAGGAAACAGAAAGAAACACAAGGCGGACACAATGACCAACAAGAAGGGAGACAAAAGGAAACAAGACGAACACAATGACCACCAAGAAGGGAGACAAAGGGAGACAAGAAGGAAGACAAGGCGGACACAATGAGGAGACAAGACAGACACAATGACCAACAAGAAGGGAGACAACAAGGAAACAGAGGGAGACAAGACGGACACACTGACCAACAAGAAGGGAGACAAGATCGGAGACAAAGGGAGACAGAAAGGAGACAACAATGACCAACCAGGACGGACATGAAGGGAGACAAGAAGGGAGACAAAACGAAACGGAAGGGAGACAAGATGGACACAGTGACCAACAACAAGGGGGAAAAAGCCGGAGACAAAAAGAAACAGAGGGGAGACAAGGCGGGCGCAATGACCAACAAGAAGGGAGACAAGACCGGAGACAAAGGGAGACAAGAAGGAAGACAAGGCGGACACAATGACCAACAAGAGGGGAGACAAGACCGGAGACAAAGGGAGACAGAAGGGAGACAAGAAGGACACAATGACCAACAAGAAGGGAAACAAAAAGGGAGACAAAGATAACAGAAGGGAGACAAGACGGACACAATGATCAACAAGAACGCAGACAAGAAGGCAGTCAAAAGGAAGCAGAAGGGAGACAAAAGCAAAAGAAGGGAGGCAAGACGGACACAGTGACCCACAAGAAGGGAGACAAGACCGGAGACAAAGAAAGAATGAAGGGAGACAAGGCGGACACAATGACCAACAAGAAGGGAGACAAGAAGGGAATCAAAAGGAAACAGAAGGGAGACAAGACGGACACAATGACCAACAAGAACGGAGACAAGAAGGGAGTCAAAAGGAAACAGAAGGGAGACAAAAGCAAAAGAAGGGAGACAAGACGGACACAATGACCCACAAGAAGGTAGACAAGACTGAGAATGAAGGGAGACAAGGCGGACACAATGACCAACAAGAAGGGAGACAGTGACCAACAAGAAGGGAGGACAAGACCAGAGACAAGAAGGGAAGACGGACACAGTGACCAACAAAAGGGAGACAAGACCGGACACAAAGGGAGACAGAAGGGAGACCAGGCGGACACAATGACCAACAAGAAGGGAAACAAAAAGGAGACGGAAGGGAGACAAGACGGACACAATGACCAACAAAGGGAGACAAGACCGGAGACAAAGGGAGACAAGGGAGACAAGGCACCAACAAGAAGGGAGACAAGAAGGGAGACAAAAGGAAGCAGAAGGGAGACAGAAGGGAGACAAGCAAATGCTGCATGGCCAGCGGAAAAGGGACAGAAAGGGCGGACACATCATAAAGAAGAATTGAGAACCCCTAACAGTAAACTGTTTCGGAAATGAATAGAAATGTTGCATCGACAGCGTGACAGACCTGGGAGACAAATGAATAGAAGCGCTACATGGCCAACGGAAAAGGGCGGACACCAGCAGTGACAGACCTGGGAGACAAATGAA